TGGCCAACGTCAGATCAGAGACACAGCAGATACCAAGCGTAGCGTAAATGTAAAAAGTACATTCACAAGAACGTTAATAGGCCCCACCCGAACCCAAACCCAACCCCCTGGCCAACGTAAGATCAAAGAATAGGCCCCAACCAAACCCAAACCACTACTAGCGCGGTTTCAGAGCCGATAGCATAAATTTGAATTGAAGTGGAACTGAGTCACAACTACAGCTTCCACATGTTCATGACAGTTTCATATGTCAATCTGCTTGGAAATGCAATATTAATATCACTGATACCGATCAGAAGTTAATGCGCACAGACTTGCACATGGACATATCGACAAGGGTATAGTATATATAGGGAGTGTTGGGTTGAGACGCTTGGAGTTGTAAGAAGAGAGAACAGAAGAGATCAGGTGAAAGTCAGGCTCAAATGCTTGGAGGTTGAACGAGGTAGGAATAGCACAGGTTGCGCTAGAAAGAAAACCACAAACACCTTTAGGAAACCCAACAAAAAACAAACAAACCTTGAGAAAACAACAAAAACAAAAAAATAATCTCCAGAAGTCTTGGGGAAGGAAGGGGTCCAGCCAAGAGTCTCTGAGGATTGTTTATATTGTTTTCTGAAGGCGTTGAGGTTTTTCCTTAAAAAGCCTTGAGAAAACCAAATTCTCCAGAAGTCTTGGGGAAGGGGGAAGACCAGCCAAGACTCTCTGAGAATTATTCTTATACGTTTTTCATGTGTTTTGCTTATGTTTCAGTGTGTTTATTATGGTTTGTCAAAATGCTCAATGCAATTCACTAAATTTTAATAGATGTGTATAAGTTTTCCAACACAGGCCCCAATGGCGGCCCCTTCTGAAAGTTTTTTTGGAACATGAAGATATTGAATTGTCGTCAAAGCTAAAAGGACTTTACCCGCTGTCTGCGCGACATAGTCGCCAAAACCCAAAACATGTGAAAATGAAAAATGAAAAACGGTCAATGTCTGAGCGGCAGATCCAATGATGAGAGTAGTACAAAACAGTAGTACAATATAAATGGTAGAAAATGCACAAAATGCGTACTAGTCTGGCCCCCTGTTCTGTCAATAAGATTAGCCCTGCTTCGCTTGACAAAAGCCAGAGTGTGAACCTGATCATCATGTAATAATACACAATGAACTCTAGTTCGCTCACACTCCTTCACCGACTCATTCACTTTAAACAGAGACCTCGCACATCAATTCATCACTGATTCAGTCGCATTAATCACATCCCAACTCTGGCTGAGTCTGCATGTGTTGAAACTTCCACCCACCAGCTCGCATTACCATAGAATTCAGATACAGTATATCTTTTTCGGGGAAGTGGGGGAACATGGGCGGAACCGCGACGCACAACTGCATGCACATGCAGCCATGCAAGCAAGCCAAAAGTTTTGCCCGCTTGGTGGTGAAAAGGAAAGAGAAAACATACGGTTCTTAACATGTTGAAACTACAATAAGGCAACAAGTGCATCGCCACTAGTAACAAGGGCATTACTACTAGTAACAAAAAGCTACTAGTAACACTACAACAGCTTGATGTTCTGAGCTGAGAGCTGGGTGGGCTGTAGCCATTTCTGACCTTAAAGTTAGACGCAAAAAATGACACAAGTCTTTTACTTTTGTAGTAACAAGGTGCATCGCTACTAGTAGCAAGCGCATTACTACTAGTAGCTTCTTGTTACCATATATATAGTAGTAATGCACTTGTTACTAGTGGCGATGCACTTGTTACTAGTAGCTTTTTCTCTTCCAGTCTTCTCACTAGAAAGTGCTTTCCACCCTCATGCCAAATACGATGATCTGTTCAGTGCCAAACGCTCTGCACCGAGAGCATCCGTAGACACCAAGTGCTTGCGAGTTGCCCAAGGACTTGTGGCGAGCCACCAACATCATTGAGCGCTGGATGTGCTGCCACACCTTCCGCCAAAACTGCATCCAGGGATACACAACATCGCAACAGCCTGGCCTCCGTGTGACATGTCCGCATGCACCCGCGCAATGATTGCTGCCGCCTCATCCCAATCAATCAAAATCCACCAAGCCAACTAACTTGAGCACTTATTCCAACAATCTGAATCCAAACTGCCAAAGCCGCGTTCCAAAAGAACACTTTGCAGGCACGCTGCGGGTCCAAAATGGCAACTACTGTCTCCCTGTGCAGGAACCACCGCCCGCTATCAAGAGCAAGAACCTTGTCATGACAACGCAGCTCGAGACGCGAGGAGAAGCACTGAAATGCTCTCAGCAAATTCCTCAATCCCTGTCAGCCGTGGGTGGTTCACTACATCTGGTTCATTGTTGTCACCCTGGAATCCTGCCTCACTAAAGCCCTGCGACATCAACCACATGCTCACATTGCATCTGCGAAGTCAATGTACCTACTGGCGTTCCTAGACGCACATGAGCAGCCAGTGCAAAGCAAGTAGCAAACGCTTGCACCTTGGTCCACATGATGAGGCTAAAAATGAAGCTCGAACATGCGAACAGTGTCTGCCAGAAGGGTCCAATGACATGTTTCTGTCAACAAATGAAGACAGGAACGTAAGGCCCTTTTACAAGGGGCCTTACCTATTTTATAAGCGCCTTGACGTGTCCCCGTTGAAGAATCAAGGGATGCCGAAGGCAAGCTTGCGCCACATAGCCTCAAATATACGGTGCAGCTCCCAGCAGCAAGCTTCTAGCAACTCGAGCTACAAAGATCTACAGAGAAGCAACCTTGGACACTGCTCCTTGTCTCTCTGCATCTTGGACACTGCTCCTCGTTGACTTTGGCATAGATTCCCATAGGGCTAGCAAAGAGCTAGCCCCCTGGGGCCACGAACCGACAAACCGGTCACAGTTGCCAACACGACATCAACACATGCGCTGGTCAACCTCGAACTGCGTCACACCCTCTGCATCTTCTGCAGCAAGCGTATGTCTCCTCAGGGTTGCTGCTATCACTTCCGTATACTCCATAGTCATCTGAGGTGACAATCAGCCAAGACTCAGAAGCCAAGCCCCGGTAGCCATTTCAGCTGTTGGCCTTTGGTGCTTCAATGAAGCTTTGCCTTGTTTGAAGCTAATTAGATGAATTGGTCAGCGTCTCAGGCCGATGCTGGTGCTGGGAAACGTTCAGGAGTTTGCCTGAAGCTTGGTGAGTGCGTCACTCACAATCTACAGTAGCAGTGGCAACATTGAAAAATAATCAGGCGATCACGCAGTTCAGATGCCCTCCGCAATGTCAACAACGCAAGCTCCTGGAAGAATCAAGCGATGCATGTCCTAAAGCTGCACCTGCCAAGATTTGTCTCTTGATGAATGGGCCATGGTGCCAGTGACTCTTGCACAAATACAATCATGTCCAATGTTGGCACCCGCTAGTCGAACAGCACGTGCTCTTTAGGTCCACTCATCTTCTAGGACCACGTCCTGGAAGCCCAAACGATGGAGCTGTGCCGCCAGTGGCCATTTTGGACCTAGGATTGGGTAATGCTATATACGAGGCGGGAAGGTGTGCGTGAACAAATGCAACGAGCGCACCAGCTGTTCTGGATCTTGCAATCCTTAGCCACGGAAGAAATGGAGCATTGCATTACACATATTGTGCCACATTGCATTACTCTGTCGCATTGCGTCTTGAATCCATGCGTGTGAAAGCCTGCAGACTGACAATGTTCAATAACAAAAGGGCCTTGCCATGCCGACGCCCTGATTTGCAACGGTTTCTTTGGATTGCCGTGGGAGGGCGCAGTCCCGAAAGGTGTCAACTTCCCAAAGTAATGGCCACATTTTGTCGGTTACTCCGGGCAAAAAAGTGCCGGCTGCAATCTGCACAAGGGACACCAAAGGTCACGGATGCATCAGCTAGTAAGGCCAGGAGCTACTAGTAGCGTCCGATTGCATTTATGTTGGTCACTACATCTTTATAGCAGTGTCAAGGTTCACCGTCCTGTTCCTTTGCGCGTCTTCATGACCACCTCCGAAAAGTGTCACACCACCTGGCAAGCACACAGCACATTTGGGAAACAAAGCCAATGCCTTCTCCATCCTGACTCCGCCGACCCCGGCTTGGCCTACCCCCCCCCCCCCGGGTAAAGGCCGTGGCGACGGTGCCTTGGACCTTTGCATGGGCAGCTGCCAGATGTTTCTCAGCTTTGAAACTGCCGTCTGCCTCTTGCAGGGGGCTTGCACAGTCTCTTTCCATGGGTGTCAAGGCTTCTTTTCCATATGTTTCGAAACTGCCGCTTCGGCACCCTTTCTGGCCGCTTTTACACACAGAACGTAGAAACTTGTGTTTTTGGTACTGCGACATCTATATATACGTGAATAAAGTACTACTGTAGCAGTACTGTGATACATTACATGCCATTCCTGGAACTGGAGGATGAAAGTTGCCGGAGCAGGCACCCCAACAAAACGCACATGCTTCCAGAACTCCAAAAGCAACTCCATCTGAAAGTATGTTTCTCGAGCATCTTTCCAGAGTGCTCAGACTCACAGCAGTGCGTTATCAATGCATGGCCACTAATAGGGGTCGGCACCCGGGCGTTTGCCCATTCTGTGTCCAAGAGGGTGAGATGTTCATTTGACTTGGGTCGCACCAAGCAATGAGCCAGTCAATGCCTGCTATACTGATATACAGGTTCCTGCCTTCTGGCAGTTTTGGATCCCGATGCTTGGCTTTGTCAAATGTTCTCCGCCCAACTGATCCAAGCTTAAGTCTTATTTGTTCATCGTTCTTGGTCCCGTGTGCTGCCCACGTTTGCCCATCAGCAGTTTGGATCAAAGCGTTCTGACAATGTGTCTGTCACAACGGGCAGCGGGCTTTCTCTAGATTAAAAAAAATCAAGCTCACTCAATGGCCTGCGGTATGATCAGTCGTTCTTCCGTTCTTCCCTGACCTTACACCTTGTTTGTCCAAACTACTAGGCCACATAAAGATGTAGGCAACTCTATTCTCTACAGGGTGAAGGCTAGCCGTGATAAGCGGATTGCTCTAGACTGCAAGAGTCAACATGCACCGGGGAAATCTTGCATGCCAACCAATAGAAGGGCTCAAGCACAGAGGTTGGGCGCGCTTTTTGACCCCACAATTTGCCCAGTCCCATCCGTCAAACATGTTCCCGGTCACCACTGCTGAAAATGTAGCTGGCTGTACGGCATTTCTGGTGCATCCCCTTCGCTAGCAAGGCTTTCCTTGGTCACATGGAAATAGAGCATTAAAAAGAAGATGCGCTTAGGCCGCTTAATAGGGCCCCTTCAAGAGGTGCCTTTAAAGGGCCCAAGCCCACCTTTTGGTGTCTCATTCCTAATATAATTCAATGAGTCGGGGCCAAGAGGCCGGACTGCTTGCACTGGTTGCTAAAAGCCCACGCTCTCCAGGTGCTGGGATTCCCACTGAAGACCCGTTCCAACGCTGGAAAAGGTAGGGCCAGCAGCTCTAACGTCTGCAAAGGACCTCACTCCCAACCTCCCACTGTCAGCTTGTGTTTTTTTACCACTCGGACTGAGTTTGATAAGCCTGATAGTCAGTTGAACCCAATATTCAATACTTCAGTATGCCTTTTCGTACGTTGCATGTCTCAAAGAGTCTTTCTTTGCTCCTGCCGAGGCTCGGGAGAAGCACCCACGGATAGGAGGATGGAATGCCTCCCTGCTCCTCAAACATGCAAATGCATGCAAATGCGATGTTTGTCATGGCATTTGTCACCTCTTCTACCAGTCCCGCGTGCTCTCTTGAAAACCGCTGAAGCACATCTAAACCCCAGCCTTGTCCACGTTGGCTTTGGCACCCTTGTGGAGGTGTTTCCTGTGAGTTGACTGGCTGATCACTATATATCCATCTCTTGTGACAAGCATCTTGAACATTGCAGGAAAGCTTCTGCACAAGCTTCCGCCGAAGGAAGACAGCCTGCGCTGAAACACATTCTCGAAACAATGTGCGGAAGAATCCGAAGCAAGCGTACCGGGTCATTATATATTTGGACTCCAAAGCTGAATCTCATCCAAGCAAGAGACTGCTAGTGATCCAACCAAAGCCGCGATGACAGCCATCTTGCAAAGTCTTGCAGCATCTGCTGCGCCTCGGCCCGGTTTGCTTGCCCCAGGATCACATTCATGGCTTACACATGCGTCCGGTTTTCCCACACCACTCAAATCATTCGCAAAATGTGCCTCCTCGTCTCATCAGGCCGGGAGGGGCATCAAACCGGGGATACCTGAGTTCTCTGAGCGTTCACTAAGCTCACGCTACCAGAGATGGGCCACTTCAACTTTGTGCCCCTGAGCCAGCTGCACTTCTTGCACAATTGAGCTGATGCTGCTGTCTCCAAACATTCTGGTCACATTGACATCCTGGACATTCAAACAACAACAGCCAAATCACATCCTTTGTATCATGTCTTAATGATGTCGTTCTTGCCTTATTTCGATGACTTAGAGGGACCTAATAAGGGCACAAACAATGTGCTTATTACATTCTACATATTACTTTACTGAGGCCAGCTTTCCCATAAAAAGGTTAAACGTGACGAGCTGAGCCATGTGCGGCATCTATGATGCAAAGAACCCTACCTTGCCTTACTGACTCTCTAGACCTGCGAAGGGAATGGCAGTTCAGATTCTTATCATCCTTCGGAAGGCATGCCGTTGGACTCTTGAATCCGAGCATCGACCAAAGAGAGCGCACTGGATTTGTGAAGTTCTGCCTGCGCTGAGGCGGCTGGCACCTCTGCAGGCAAGCTTTCCAGCTCCATTCGGAGAAACAGCTCTCAAACACCCGGCCTTGTGGAAGGTCAAGGCGACCGTAGAGACCTCAAAAAAGCGGTTAAAAATAATGGGAAAGTGGAGAAAGGAGGCCGGCAGACAGAGCTCACAGAGCCCAAGCTGCCCAAGCTTAAGTGTCCCACAAAGAGACATCCAGAATGCATTGTCTTGGCACAAAGTCAGGATCAAACACTGCTCATCATGATAGTTGCTCAACTATGTGCTCTTTTTCCACTGAGTTATATAGTTACTCAACTCATACTGATGGCTAGGCAGCACCTCCACCCTGCATCTTTTTTTAAGACTAACAGCGAGGGGCATTGTGGCAGCAACAGCAACAGCAGTGACAACAGAAAACTTGAGCACAAATGCCTGCACACACACACTCTCTCTCTCCCTCTCTTTCTTGGCATGACCATCAACGCCGGCCGTCCTGTTTGGTCCTCTCGCGTGCAAGTGTTTCTGAAAGGAACGAAAGCCTCATGCAAGTGCCTTGAAATAGCCGAATACCAGGTAATATTCAACACTGTTGGTGTTATACCGACCGTTTTCCTCTTCCAAATGTTAGTGGCAAGGAAGAAATTCTTGACTGTCCGCTTTGCCTGTGCAAGCGAGACCAGTAGGAGCAGAGCACTGCCCCAGCCCATTTGCTGAAGCCGCGCAGCCTTTCAAGGCTCAAAGAAGAGCACGCCGTGCAAAACAGATTACGCAACGTTCCAAATGTTCCAAGTCAAGCTCGGACATGCTTAAATCTTAAGCATTTGCAGCCATAACATGCATTGCCTTGTATTGTTGTGTATTGCTTTGGTTTCCGGTGTTGGGAGCGTTTCAGATTGGGCCTTGATGTGCTGCCGTGCAACCCCCCTCTTCTACACACAGGCCCTCCCAAAGCCGAGAAGGCTACCAAGGCCACGAGTACACACAATATCGTTTCTACAGTAGCTGGTAGGGCGTAGTTGACTGGGCGGCCTGCCGGCTATGTCTATATGGCTGTTCAGCGGCCGGCCGGCCACATTGCGACTGGACCGGCCGGTCAACCACGTGGAACTTTCTGCAAATTTTGCACGTGTCTTAAGTAGCACGAAATATGTACTGGTGATAAGTCGTAAGTAGCAACTAGCAACTAGCAAGCAGAAGCAGTAGTAGCAGTAGTAGTAGCAGCAGCAGTAGTAGTGGCAGTAGGAGTAGGAGTCGTAGTAGGAGTAGTAGTCGTCGTGTCGTCGCAAAAAAAAAGTAGTAGTAGTAGTAGTAGTAGTAGTAGTAGTAGTAGTAGTAGTAGTAGTGGTAGTAGTAGTAGTAGTAGTAGTTTCAGCAGTAGTAGTAGTAGTAGTAGCAGAAGCAGTAGCAGTAGCAGTAGCAGTCGCTGTCGCAGTCGCAGTCGTAGTCGTGTAGTAGTGTAGTCGTTTAGTCGTAGTAGTTAGTCGTAGTAGTTTGGTCGTAGTAGTTTAGTCGTAGTAGTTTAGTCGTAGTTTAGTCGTAGTTTAGTAGTAGTTTAGTAGTAGTTGAGTAGCAGCAGTAGCAGTAGCAGTAGTAGTAGTCTAGCAGCAGCGGTCGTAGCAGTAGTAGAAGTAGTGGTAGCAGCCGTCGTCGTCGTCGTCGTAATTGCAGTAGTACAGAAACCTACTAGCAGGAGCAATAGCAACAGAAATAGCACGTAGTAATAGCAAAGGAATAGAAGTAATACCGGCCGGCCGACAAGCGAGAAACCATTGCCGAGCCCATAGACGCACAGCCACCCAGCCAGCCAGCCGGCCGGCCGGCCCTAAACTACTACCACCACCACTACCACCACTACTCACTGCCACTACCAATACCACTACGACTGCTGCTGCTGCCGCGCCGCTGCCGCTGCCGCTGCCGCTGCGGCTGCTGCTGCTGCCACGGCTACCGCTACTGCAACTGCTACTGCTACTCCTCCTACTGTTACTCCTCCTACTGCTACTGCTACTGCTACTGCTACCGCTACTACTATTGCCACTCATTACTATATATGTTTTTCTACTACATGCCATACTGCTACTGCTGCTACTACAACTACTACTACCACCACTACTACTCCTCCTCCTCCTGCTGCTGCTACTTTTGCTGGCCGCCACTGCTACTGCTACTCCTACTGCTAGTGCTACTGTTGCTGCTAAACTACTAAACTATTAAACTACTGCCCAAAAAGGGTCTGGAGGGGTTGAGAGAATCTGCTTCCATTATCAAGACTTGCTGGGTCAAACTTCCCAGCCCATGTTGCTGTTCTGACACTCTAGACGCTGAGCAACCACTTCACCCGGTGTGCTTCCTGATTTTGACCAACGCATTTAATATCTAGCTATATAGATTCAGCATGATTCAGCTATATAGATTGCGCACGGCTCATTCTCGAGCAAAAGCTTCGCACTTGAACACCTGAAATTCGTTCCTGTCGAGTCTACGCTTTACACCAAACTTTCCTGTCATCGTGGTGTCTTAAACTCCGACGATGCCTCTAGTTATGTATATATATGCTGGATTGATTTAAAAAACAAAATGGAGCCCACGAACCCGAATGCAAACACGTTCAAAAAGCTACGTATGTCCAAATGACACTCTTGTAGGACACTCTTGTGGGACACTCTTGTGGGTCACTCTTGTAGGAAACTCTTGGGGGACACTCTTGTGGGACACACTTGTGGGACACTCTTGCGGGACACTCTTGTGGGACACTCTAGTAGGAAACTCTTGTGGGACACTCTTGTGGGACACTCTTGTGGGACACTCTAGTAGGAAACTCTTGTGGGACACTCTTGTAGGACACTCTTGCGGGATACTCCTGTAGGACACTCTTGTGGGACACTCTTGTGGGACACTCTTGTGGGACACTCTTACAGGACACTCTTGTTGCACACTCTTGTGGGACACTCTTGTGGGTCACTCTTATGGGACACTCTTGTCGGACACTCTTGTGGGACACTGTTGCGGGACGCTCTTGTGGGACACTCTTACAGGACACTCTTGTTGCACACTCTTGTAGGACACTCTTGTGGGTCACTCTTATGGGACACTCTTGTCGGACACTCTTGTGGGACACACTTGTGGGACACTCTTGTGGGACACTCATACCGGACACTCATACCGGACACTCTTGTGGGACACTCTTGTGGGACACTCTTGTAGGAGACTCTTGTGGGACACTC